TCCCAGGCTGTTAGGAATTGTGGGAGTTGAGGTCCAAAACACCTGGAGGGCCCAAGTTTGCCCATCCCAGGCCTAAAGGCTCTGTAAAGCTACAGGAAGTGTTCCTCCCCCTTTGGAGATTTCTGTCCCTCTGCATTGGCCCCGCCCCCTCCCCTCCCCAAAGGAGTCGTCACGTGCCAGCAGCCGTGCGCAAACCCCGCCCCGCTTTTGTGAGTGACGGAGTAATCAGACCAATCCCAGTCACCCACTGCAGTCCTCTTCGCCTATGCCCAGGCTTCCCCGCCAAGGAGGGCGGGATTTCCGGAACTTCCTGCCCATCTCGCCGACGGGCCGAGAGAGGGCTTTATTATGGATTCCGCCTGAGCTGCCTTCTCTGCCTTTTCCGCGGCTGTGCCTGGATCTCAGGTGAGAAGCCTGGCTGCTTGGTTTTTGAGGCCTCCTCTGTGGGGGTGGGATTCAGCTCTAGGCCGACTCCTCGCCTTCCTCGACCTGACCTTGTGGCCTTTTCGTCTCTCTCGCTTCCATTCCTCCTCCTCTCGCTTCCTCTTCATCTAGCCTTTCAACACACAGGCTGTGTTTACACGTCTGAATGAGGCCAGAGTTGCCAAACCCGTGCATTTCAAAGGTCTGTGACAACTTGGGCCAGCCCTCCAGGTGTTTTGGTTTTTAGGAATTGTGGGAGTTGAAGTCCAAAACACCTGGGCTCCTTCCACACAGCTGAATAAAATCCCACAATATTTGCTTTGAGCTGAGTTATCTGAGTCCACACATAGATAATGTGGGATTTCCTGCCTTGATAGTCTGTGTGGAAGGGCCCACAGTTCAAAGCAGATATTGTGGGTTCTCCTGCCTTGATATTCTGCGATATAGGGCTGTGTGGAGGGCCCCCAGTTCAAAGCGGATAATTGTGGGATTTCCTGCCTTGATATTCTGGGATATAAGGCTGTGTGGAAGGGCCCCCCAGTTCAAAGCAGATATTGTGGGATTTCCTGCCTTGATATTGTGGAATATAGGGCGGCGTGGAAGGGCCCCCAGTTCAAAGCAGATATTGTGGGATTTCCTACCTTGATATCTCCTGCCACGAACCATCACAAAGTTTAAGATCTTCAGGAGAGGTCCTGCTCTCAATCCCACCACTATCGCAAACACGGTTGATGGGGACGAGAGACAGGGCCTTCTCAGCAGTGGCCACCCGCCTATGGAATGCTCTCCCTAGAGATATCAGATTGGCCGCCTCCCTCTTGTCTTTTAGAATCATAGAATCAAAGAGTTGGAAGAGACCTCGTGGGCCATCCAGTCCAACCCCCTGCCAAGAAGCAGGAATATTGCATTCAAATCACCCCTGACAGATGGCCATCCAGCCTCTGTTTAAAAGCTTCCAAAGAAGGAGCCTCCACCACACTCCGGGGTGGAAAATCAAGACCTGGTTATGGGACCAAGCATTTGATCAGTGAGCAGCAAGTGGAAGAAGATCACACAGCTTATGGCAATGAATTGACCCGGACTGGTTTTAGGATTTTGATTTTAATGGATGTGTCTTAATTAATTGTTTTAATTGTTGTTTTAATTTTTAATACTTTGATTGTACTGTGGTTGTTTTTATGATGCTAGCATCGTATGATGCTTTTGTTAGGCCGCCCTGAGTCCCCCTTCGGGGGGAGAAGGGCGAGGTATAAATATGGGAAATTAATAAAAAAATAAATTCTGGGATGTAGGGCGGTGTGGAAGGGCCCCCAGTTCAAAGCAGATATTGTGGGATTTCCTGTCTTGATATTCAGGAATATAGGGCTGTGTGGAAGGGCCCCCAGTTCAAAGCAGATATTCTGGGATATAGGGCGGTGTGGAAGGGCCCCCAGTTCAAAGCAGATATTGTGGGATTTCCTGTCTTTGATATTCAGGAATATAGGGCTGTGTGGAAGGGCCCCCAGTTCAAAGCAGATATTCTGGGATATAGGGCTGTGTAGAAGGGCCCCCCAGTTCAAAGCAGATATTGTGGGATATAGGGCGGTGTGGAAGGGCCCCCAGTTCAAAGCAGATATTGTGGGATTTCCTGCCTTGATATTCTGGGATATAGGGCAGAGTGGAAGGGCCTCTGAAGGACAGGCCCAAATAGGCCAGGCCAGCACAAAGGCATAAACTTTGTTAATCTGAAGAGAAATATCTGATGGGAATTGTTCTCCCACCATCGCAATCACAGTTGGTTGGGACAAGAGACAAGGCCTTCTTTGTGGTGGCCCCTGGGCTGTGGAACTCCCAAGCGAAATTAGATCGGCTCCATCTCTCCTGACCTTTCGGAAACAAGTGGGATGAGGCCTTCGCGGACTAGGGTGACTGGCTGGCAAAGCTTTGGCTTTAATGGACTTGGACTGACTGCTTTTGGGATGATGACTTAAATCGGCAATTGTTTGAATGTTTTTATATTGTTTTTACTGAATGTGCATATTTATGCTTTTTGTTGTGGGCTGGTTGTTAGCCGCCCTGTGTCCCTCTGCGGAGGTTGAGATAGGACAGGATATAAATGTCTGAAATAAATAAATAAGTTTGTTTGCTAAGCTTTGGTAGGCTGAAGAGAAAGAAATTTGGATAATAAACTTTGTTGACTGACGAGGAAGATGTTGGCAGCATAAGTTTTGGTAGGCGTAAGGAGATTTTAATACTTATTTTGGATTTTACCTTTGTCACCTAAGTATTTAAACGTTTAATACTGTCCTTCTACTTTCCTTCGCAAATCAAAACATTTTTATGGGACCAGGCCTTTCCTGACGACCTAGGTCCCTTCCACGTCTGTATAAAATCCACATTGAACTGGAAAACATGGCAGTGTGAACACAGATAACCCAGTTCAAAACAGATATTGTGGGATTTTCTGCCTTGATATTCTGAGTTATATGGCTGTGAGGAAGGGGCCCCTAGAATAGACAATGGCCAGGCAATGTAATAGCCTGGTAATGTAATTTTTTCGAAGTTATGTTAGACCTGACAGTGTTTTCATACAACCTAAGGAAAAATTGAGTTTTTAGGATCTTAGCACAATTGTTTTAGTAATAATAATAAAACTTAATTTATATTTATATTCTGCCCTATTTCCCAGAGGAGACTCAGGGGCAGATTCCAACAAACAAAAAAGGTAAGCATTCAATGCCTCATTAACAATAAGTACAAGTGGAATAACCCATAATAACCCCACATAAAATGACAGCTAAACATGACATCTATAACTTGGATAAAAACATAACCTATTGAAAATTATAACTAACATAGAAAGTGAACATAAGACATCTGAATTACTTTACAAAAGCCAATGCAGCTTCAAAGATGCATGCGTTGATTGTGTGGCCAGTGATGTTAAATGGGCTAATATGCCCTAACAAGGCCCAAAGACATTGATAATTTCTAATCAGCAATCTAGTAGTAGTCTCTCTTCATCTAATCCTCCTCTCCATATGTTTGTGAGCAAAAATAGGTTTTCAGTTTTTCTGGAAGGGGTGGTGGGAGGAAGCCAGCTTTATTTCTTTAGAGAGGGAGTTTCAGAGGTGGGGGCAACCATGGAGAAGTCTCTCTCTCTTTCACTCCCACTCTCTCATTCCCACCATTCATACTTGAGATGGGGTTGGGACCGGGAGCAGGGCCCGAGTTGATTTGCAAGAGGAGATGTGGTTAGTCAGATAACCACATCTCCTCCTATAAACCAACTCGGGCTGGATGGAAGTTTAAAGTTCAAGAACTTGAATAATCTCAGTGGTTTAGGGAATTTTTCAAATGATCATATTGCAATTCATTAAAATGTTTATATGTATATGGGAGGTATGGTGTGCAATCTGTTTACCTGGGTTATGATGTTTTTGTTGGACTTTTATGTTATGTTTATCTTTGCTCTTTTAGTGTTGTATGCCACTTTGAGTCCCACCCATGGGAGATAAACAGGATAAAAATATAATAATAATAACAACAACAACAACAACACTACCATATTCAATACTGGCTTTTAACTCTGCTTTTGACAATGTTTCCTAATCCATAACGGCATGTCATGCTCCTATTTTGACGTACGTTCTTTTTTTTTGTTCTGGTTCTTGACTGTAATAATAAATATGTATGTATATATCTAGAACATTGTGTCCCCCTTTACATACCTGGGCAAATACTGAAGTCAAGCAGGGAGACCCTTTTCTCCACACCACTCCCTTCTAATATGCGCTTAAGTAGGACCAGGGAAGGCTCCTTCTCAGGATGAGCACCAGCACTTTGGAACTCCCTTCTGGAAGAATTAAGAGCTCCCCCATCACTGTGGAGCTTCCAGAAGACCTCATTTAAGAAAGCTTTTAACTACATGTGCTAGGGCTGGGTGGAGTTCTCAGGTTCAAGCACTTGTTTATCGAAAGGGTTTTTTGTGGTGAAGATGTAATGGATTTACGAATATGTGATTTTGACCATGTTTGAACTTTGTATTGGATGGTTTTATTTTGTTGTAAGCCACCTTGAGTCTGCTTGTTGAGAAAGGCAGGGTAAAAATATCTTAAATAAATAAGTGTATGCTATCAACTTCTTTATCTCAGGGCTCTTCCACACAACCATTGTTGTTGTTGTTGTTCATTCGTTCAGTCGTCTCCGACTCTTCGTGACCTCATGGACCAGCCCACGCCAGAGCTCCCTGTCGGCCGTTACCACCCCCAGCTCCTTCAAGGTCAGTCCAGTCACTTCAAGGATGCCATCCATCCATCTTGCCCTTGGTCGGCCCCTCTTCCTTTTTCCTTCCATTTTCCCCAGCATCATTGTCTTCTCTAAGCTTTCCTGTCTCCTCATAATGTGGCCAAAGTACTTCAACTATGTCTCTATTCTTCCCTCCAATGAGCAGTCGGGCTTTATTTCCTGGAGTATGGACTGGTTGGATCTTCTTGCAGTCCAAGGCACTCTCAGAACTTTCCTCCAACACCACAGTTCAAAAGCATCTATCTTCCTTCGCTCAGCCTTCCCTAAGGTCCAGCTCTCACATCCGTAGGTTACTACAGGGAATACCATGGCTTTGACTAGGCGGATCTTTGTTGCCAGTCTGATGTCTCTACTCTTCACTATTTTATCGAGACTGGACATGGCTCTCCTCCCAAGAAGTAAACAACTTCTGATTTCCTGGCTGCAGTCTGCATCTTCAGTACTCTTTATGCCTAGAAATACAAAGTCTGTCACTGCCACCATGTTTTCTCCCTCTATTTGACAGTTATCAACCAGTCTGGTTGCAATAATCTTGGTTTTTTTGATGTTTAGCTGCAACCCGGCTTTTGCGCTTTCTTCTTTCACCTTGATTAGAAGGCTCCTCAGCTCCTCCTCGCTTTCGGCCATCAGAGTGGTGTCATCTGCATATCTGAGGTTGTTAATGTTTCTTCCAGCAATTTTCACCCCAGCTTTGC